TGATGACAATGTCCAGAGAGAAGATAGAGGAGACAGCAGAAGATCAAGACAGAGGAAACAGAGACAATCAAGACAGAGGAGCCAGATCACACATGGCCTCTCTGGCTATAGTAAGGCTTTGGCAGTATCTACTTTGAGATGGGGGCTTCAAGAGGCTTTGAGCAGAGGTAAGGTGCACCAACTTCCTTTTTTAACAGGATTGCTTTGATTAAAGGGATCAAAAGCCAAAATAAGCCAGATATGGTGGTATCAACCTATAGTCCCAATTACTCAGGAGGCTGAGGCAGAAGGATCACTCAAGGCCAGGAATCTGAGACTGCAGTGTGCTATGGTCCACTCGTGACAAGACCTTGTGTCTACTTAAAAAAAAAAAAAAAAAAAAAGAGCAGAAATAGACTGCATTCCCTTTAGAGCCAAGTCAGAGGGCTCTGCCCTGGAGCCATGCTTTAGAAGGTCCTACATAAAACAAGCGCACAATATATAAACTTGTCATAGTACTCAGAGCACCTTTATTAGAGATGGGGGTTCAATTCTACTGCAGCACAGCCCCCTTCTGGTGCAGCACTACTGCCTTTCAGGAGCCCCAGGGAAACTCTTCTCCATGCCTCTTGCCCTATGTGCATCAAACAAAAGGGAAGCTGCCTCCAAATGCCATCAGGGTTAATGGGTTGTAGTGCTGCAAACTTGGGTATGACCACACTTTGGAAGGTGGGAGGAGTTGAGCAATGGGTACGCTTAATTAATTCTCTTAATTAAGAGAAATGCAATTAATGTATCAAGTAGTTCCTCTTGGAGAGCACAAATGCCACAGATGACACAGTATTCTATTTCAATTCCAATGGCCGTCCATTTTCTTGTTCCTGTTTGTGCTCTACTTCAACATTCTTGAGATACTCTTGAATTGCATGACATTTGTAAAAGTTGAACATTTAAGGGCTAAAGAATATTATTCAATATTAAACAATTCATATCACTAAACTTGTATTTATATAGTTCCAGAAAAAAAACCCATGATGGATCTAGGTTCTAGAATATTGTTTTAAGAGATGGTAAAATGGCAATATAAGTGATCATTGGCTTATATGATAAAATTTAAATATTTTGCAATATTTTCTACAATAATGATAATGCATCTTATGGAACCCTCATTATATTTAATCATATTTGAACATGATGTATAACATTACTGTTCATTTCCAAACCTTATTGCCAATTTAGCTGAGCAAATTTTCTTACTCCAAATAGAAATTAATTTTTAAAAATACTAGGAAATATAATGACTCAATGAAATCATTCTATGTCTATAATGTCTAATTTGACAAAAGTGTCAATAGAACATGAATTGTGTGGAAGGCTTGATTACAAAACAGCATATTTTTTGAAATTTGATTTTTAAAGCAATAGCTGTGGGATAAATATATAGCAATTCATTAATTAATGTCTTCATCTTCTTATTCATTCAAACATTGCCTGCCCATTAATAGGATACTCAAAGATGCACAATAGTAGTTCAATCATCTTTGATATTTTGTTTACTGTCAGTCATATAAAAAAAAACCATAGCTTTATTTTATTTTTTCAACAAAGAAGCATATCTTTCAAAGTAAGAGGATAGAATATAGTTTAAATAACTGTTCGCCAACTTGATATACAAGTTTTAAGTATCTCAACAAGGAGTATGTGGTGCCCCATTTGTATTTTATCCCTGGACCTCTTGTATGTTAGGGGACTCCAGTTAGGGGATTATTACAATAATTCAAGTGAATAAATGCCAGTAGCTCAACCAGGGTTGTGGCAGTAGAGATGTGAGAAGTCATCAAACTCTTTATACATTCTGAAGGAACTGCCAAAAGGATCACTGACAGATTGGATTAAAGTGTAAAAGAGAAAAATCGAATCACATGAGGTTTTTTATTTATTTTTTTATTTCAGCATATCACAGGGTACAAATGTTTAGGTTACATATATTGCCTTTGCCCCACCTGGATCAGAGCTTCAAGTGTGTCCATCTCCCAGACGGTGTGCACCGCACCCATTAGGTGTCAATATACCCATCCCCTTCTCCCCCCTCCCATCTACCCGATACCTGATGAACATTATTACTATATGTGCACTTCAGTATTGATCAGTTAATACCAATTTGATGGTGATTGCATGCAGTGCTTGTTTTTCTTATTTTTTTTATAATTCAATGGTTTTATTATTATTTAGTACACTTACTTATCACCCATTGGGTGCCAAGTGGATGGGAAGGGAGAGGAGGAGATGGCTACATTGACACCTAATGGGTGGTGTGCACTGTCTGGGGGATGGACATACCTGAAGTTCTGACTCAGATGGGGCAAGGGCAATATATGTAAGCTAAACATTTGTACCCCTTTAATATGCTGAAATTAAAAAAAGAAGAATGAAGTGGGACGCTTACCTTACATTAAATTAAAAATAGATAAATTGGACTTCATCAAAATTAAAAACTTTTGTGCATCAGAAGATATAATGAAGAAAGGTGCTTGTTTTTCTATTCTTGTGATACTTCACTTAGTAGAATGGGCTCCTGCTCTATCCAGGATAATACAAGAGATGCTAGATCACCATTGTTTTTTCACACGAGGGTTTTGACTTGAGCAACAAGACAGAAGTTGTCATTATATGAGTTAAGGAAGGACCTGGGAGGAGCAGCTTGAGGGAAATTTCAGAAGCTTGATTTTTTTCATGTTAACCTTGGGAGGTTCATTTAACTCCCAGAAGTTTAATCCTCAGGGCTGGTGTTCAGCTATGTATATTTGGTAGTCATTAGGGTGGGAGCAGGGTTGGGGTTATATTCAAATCCTTGGGATTGGAGAGACCTGCTCTTGATGTTTCTGTTTTTAACAAGATTGAAGACATGATGTAGTTGAAGGAAGGGAACACTCTGTTGTGCCACTTCTCCATCCTCAAAGCAGAAAGTGGCATGAAGAACCTGGAACCTTCCAAAACCATTCCTAGAGAATAGCAGCTTCTTTGGTTTGGATGCCCTGGAAAAGGCCAATAATCAACCACCAATTCTGGATCCTAACCATGAGCTCATAATTCCAGACTTCCTATAAAATGATTAGCAGAAACACAAGTGTAAGACACTGTCAGATATCATAAATCCTGCATGTGGATTGTTGCACCCTCTGCCTGGCTGCCTTTTACATCAAATCCTTTGATGTGGATTTTTCCTTCTACCTTCTTAGGTTAGTTGGCTCTCAGACCTCCAAATCACTCCAATCTAATAATGGAGATGATATAAAGAGAAAAACAAACATAAGAACATACAAACAAGAGACAAAACTCTTAAGTTCCTGAATCTCTTCACTCTCTAATTCTCAAATCAGAAAAGAAAGAAAATTCTAAGTGTATCACTTTTATAATCACTTGCAAATTATCTTACTCTCCCTCTGACAAACACAAGCACAGCCACAACTAAAGCAATATTACAATACAAAAGGAGAACTGCAGAAGAAAGGGAGAAGCATCAGGAGTGAACTTTGCTCCAGGCTGCTGGGTAATCCTTGGAGGAGAAACTAATGTAACACTTCCAAAATTGATAGCCTACAGAACATGGTTCCATGGGATGTTACTTGATGAGTTCTATTCCCAAAATAAACTTGAGATCATTGGATAAAACAAAAGTAAACTAATTTATTTTCTGTAGGAATGTCAGAGACTACACCAATGTGCTTTATAAATCTTCAAGAGGGAGATACAGAATATAGCACTTCCAATATTTGATGCGGAACCCACTCTTTTTCCAGTGGTTCATAATAACAACTTCCAGAAATAGGATTCTTCTGAAAACTGTTCTAATAAATAAATATATATATAGATATAGATAGATAGATAGATAGATAGATAGATAGATAGATAGATAGATAGATAGATGAATGAGAATCTCAAAAGTGAATGATGTTTGCCAAAGTTGGCTGAGCAAGACCATAAAGATCTCATCACCTACTCCCTGGCTTAATGCACCAAGATTTGAAAATCTGCATAAATATACTTTCATAGAACCAAATTCAATTTGGATGCAATAAATTTGCTGTTTAAAAAATGAAACCACTGAATTATTAAATATTCTCAGTTATTAAACATTCACATTGCAACTGAATTCCCAAGCCCCTACCCGCTCCAGCAATGTTATCACTGAATAACTAGAATTAATTATTATAGAGATGATGATAATGATGCCAAAGAATTAATCCTAATTAAATGTTCTACCATGAAGAAAAGGCCAAATTTAGATCAATGATGATTTAATTTTATTCTTGAATCTTTTGAGGACATTCAGTTCTTCTAGGCCCAATAATTTGATGAACGATAGTATCTTTACTACAATTGAGCAATATCTTTATTGACTTTTTTTTTAACCTTTTACTCAACACACAAGTCCATATAATACAGGTTTTATGAGCAAATCCTTACATATAGATAAATTTTAAAGATACTTTAACTAGTTTTTATCACTCTTTCTCTGTAGTCTCCTTGAATTAAACTAACATGAGAATAATTCCGTTTTGTTGGAAAGTAACCCTCCCAAGAGAATCAGAAACTTTAAGAAAGACCTGTCATCGTAATATGTCAGCTGTTAGCCTCACATTCACACAGAAGGAAGTGACACACACTTATATGAGATATAGAAGATATCTAATAAGAATACATTTATTAATTACAAATCACATTCATATTTTTGTGTACAAATATTATTTAAATGGCTTGAGTAATGCCTTTATAATGCTAAATGAGAAAAAAGCTAACTACAAAGTTAATAGAAATATGCTTTCAAACACATAGAAATATTTTTAAAGCATATGTCTTAGCATAGGAGTAGTAACTGACTCTAGGTGACATATTTTTTAAATTTTTTCCATATTAATTTTATAATCATGAAAAAAATTGAAGTTATTTTTTAATAGCATTACTCTATGTTAACTGACTTATTCCACTAAACTCAAACTACCAATGTTCAAGACACAAATTTATGGTGAAATTCCAGGAGTTTCCTCTGGGTACAAAAGGAACCCAGTAAAAATGCTATCATCCTCAGGGCTTACATACACCCCATTCCAATCTTTTGACACTTCCAGCCAGACTTGGTCTCCTGCACTTAATTTCAAGATGATGAGGAGAGAGGCCTGGTCCACTTCCTGACCGTAGAGAGTTTCTCTGGACTTGAACTGCTTCTTATTCCGGGCCACCAGGCTGATGCGAGCTGGTCGGCCCCTCACGGTAACATGGTAGGAAAAAACATATGTTCCAGGAATGGTGCAGTTAAACTTCCCAGTGACAGGACTGTAGTTCCCTTGGTCATTATAGAGAACCTTGTCAAATTTGATGGGGGTGTTAGGAGGAGGGAAAGGCTTTGACAAAGCAGCGCTGAAAGCCGACTGGGGGACACTGGCCACCTCACCCTTGGAGCCTTTGAAGCCCCGAGAGCCCTTCTTCCCGATAGGGCCTCGCACCCCTTTGCTCCCAAGCTCACCCTTTGGCCCAGTAGGTCCCATGCGACCAGGAGGCCCCAACTCTCCCTTTTCTCCTTTAGCCCCTGGATCACCTTTGGCCCCAGGCAGACCATCAGGGCCGGTTTTGCCTTCTGTCCCTGCGTCTCCTTTGCTACCTTTTTCTCCTTTCACGCCCCATTCACCTTTTTGTCCTTTTCCTCCCCTCTCCCCAGACTCTCCACAGTAGCCCTTCTCCCCCACCTCCCCCTTCTCTCCCTTAGCCCCAGGCCCCCCATCCAAGCCCGGCGGGCCCACTGCCCCTCGGTCTCCTTTGTCCCCTTTGGTGCCATTCTCACACGTGTCCCCCTGTGAGCCTTTTTGTCCTTTCACTCCTGCCGGACCAATGTTTCCTTTATCCCCCTTAGGGCCAAGTCCACCTGCAATGGAAAATTAAAACAATGTTTAAGGATCACACAGGCTATAAGCAGTATGCTATTGCCACAGAGCTCAAAAACTAGACAGAAAACCTGCTAACTGGGACCTGGAAACCCGGCTCTTGCCTTGGCAATGGCTGTGCCTAGGAGGTTCTTAAAATGAGCACTTTGTATCATGCCACACTCCCAGAAGGGGAAAAATTAATGCTTCCCAGAAATAGTAGTTTATATTCAGACCTCATATATCTAGTTCTTTTTTTTTTACTTTTAAAATAATAAAAAATATTAGAACTATAGCTGCCCATTGTATTCCATTACCCTTTTCATTTAGTCCCAAAAGATTCTCCTAAATCTCCAGATTGTCCCTCCAAACCCAAAATCTTACAGGCAAAGACACCGAAACCCAGAAAGATTTAGGGATTTTTATTTTCTGTTTTACGGCAAGAGAGCGCAACACAGCTCAGATACTTTTACCTATTCTCCAAACTCCTAGACAGTACTAACACTTCATCCAGTCAAGTACATTGACTTATTAGAAGAATAACAGTAATTCGTACCTTTCTGATAACTTTAAATGCAAACAGGAAGAGAATGAAGGGCTATACTGCACACATGCCTGTACACAATAAATATATTTTATACTCTACCTTGTTCTCCAGGTTTTCCTGGATATCCTGGAACTCCACTTGTTCCTTGGTCTCCACGTTCTCCTTTAAGTCCTAAAATGACACCAAGATTAACTTTTTACCAACTATATTACTTGTGATATACCTAACATTCCTTTCACAACCATGTCACATCCCAGTGTTTTGTTTAACCAAAATGGTTTAAAGGTAAAATAGCGTGGAAAAAGAATGTATTAGGGTCATGAGGAATACAGTATTTAATCCTAATTGTGGGTAAACCATTTAGAGGAGACCTGGCAATAGTGCCAATCCCTTCAAACAAAATTCATCTTTGTCCTCAGCATCCCTATGGCACTTCAAACCTCTCATAAAACTCATGACATCCCGCTTATATTATATATGTATATGTTTGGGGTTTTCCTGTTATGAATTTTGAATGACAGTTGAAATGTCTTCTTTATTAATATATGCCCACATTGCCTGAGAAATAATACTATACAAGTTTAAACACAAGACATATTCTGCAATTAGCTAAAACTAGTCATAATAAAAACACATCTGGGAAAAAAAATTGTCCTTGACATAGACTGTTAAGGAAAAGCCAAATTTCATTTTGTGTTTGGATATTTTTATACACTTTTTGGAAAAATTATAGAACTGTGAGAATTTATGTTTGAAAAAAATCCAAAGAGCTGGGTTTTCAGATATTTACCTTATTACCATAAAATATATTTTTAAATTGGACCTCACTGAAAGTTCATCCTATTACAGTGAAGTCACAGCAGATTGTTTTCAACTGTAAATGATTATAGCAATAATAATAATATTAATAATATCTCATTCTTATTGAGCATTTTCTTTGTACCAGGTATTGTTCCAAGCTCTTACCATAATTTTTTTTACTTAATCAGCTTTTTGTTTAATATAATTTTTGTTTTATATTAAGATAGCCTCTTATATAACACAGAGGATCATATAACAGAGCACATTTCATCAATTGTAACAATTTTTAATTTATAGTAGTTTATAGCACCTCTCCTTCAAGAAAAGTAGAGTAAATCTTTTTCACCATTTTATCACAGAAGAAACTGAGGTATGAAAAAATTTAAAAATTTGTACAAGGTCAAACATGATCTCATACAACACTGATTGGCAACAATTTTCTAAGTATATTATCTATGGTATAACAAACATTTTTTATTTTGTTTTCATCAGGGAAAAAGAAACCCTAAGCCAAATGAAAAGTAATGGGAATAGCCTCCCCCTAGTTTCACAAGACCAACTAAAGAAATTTCACCATAGATCACGCAGCAGAGTTTTCTAAGTTCCTAGTTCCTCCATTACCAATCCACGTAAAATTAAAAATTTGGAAATTAACCCATAGGACATCAAGAAAATATCTGGATGCAATCTGAGAGAACCTAACCCTAAATGGAAGTGAAGAACTGATCCTATTCCCAGTCCTTGCCAGTACTCAAACACTAACCTTCACCATGCAGAGTTATTCTGGTTGTCAAGTTCATTTAAGGAGTTTAGTTGCTTACACTAAATTTACTCAGTCAAGTAATGATTAACAAGAATGTAGTGATTCTACTAATTTTCTTTAACTTTCAATCTTAACCAAGAGTCCAAGCTAAGTCTGGAAGTAGAAGGAAAGTAGAGTTGCCACTTTATAGAGACTGGCTGAATGAATTTTTACTTTTGATCCTTCATCAAAGATTATTCTTAAGAACCTTATTTTATGATAGTTCCCTTATTTTTTTCTTTTACTTCTAGAAGTCTAGCTTCCAAAATGTATGAATCACTGGGGAAGTTCATCACTCATCTTTATTTCACAGGGTTTTCTGCTAACATAATTCAGGCACAAAAGGATTAAATGTTTCCAAGAATGAAAACCACATAACTGACAAGTGTGAAGTAGCTCTCGCTTCCCTTAGCATCTTTTTTGAGTAATTACTTCACTGAATGTTCTACCAGAAATGAGTTAGGCAGTTCCTGAGCCATGTGGAGGGTGATGTATAGATGATATTAGGTCTTTTGACATGTGACACTGAGGCTAAAACATTTAACTTGATGGATAGATGGTATTTCTACAGGCTGCCGGTATTCACCAAGGAATTTCTAAATGTCCCAGTGATTGTGTAACCTTCCTTCAATACCTTTAAGCACTTACAGAACCAGGGATTTCCTGGGGCAGAGAGCATTCTTTACCGATGCACCTGTGGAATTACAGAGTTTCTGAGCTGGAAAAGGCCTATAAAAGCACTCATAACTACAAATCTTCTTTCATAGCAAAAAGGGAATAAATAAATATCTAGTCCATTTCCCTCAATTTCCAGGTGAAGTAAAGTGACTGGTCCAAGATCACTTTTTATTCTTCATTACTTCAGTTTTAATTAAGTTCTGTTTCCACCACTGATAAATCAAATATTGTGAATTCTCCTTAGCAGGCAGGTCATCCGCCTTCAAGAATCTAGTATTTACTTAGCAAATTGCTCTCCTGAAAAATGCTACAAAACATCCCTTGAATTTTGACATGAAATGAAATGAATTACCTACCTTTCTCTCCTTTGAGGCCTTTTGGGCCTTGGGGCCCAACAACTCCTGGTGACCCTGGGATCCCAGCCTCTCCTTTAGGACCTGGAAATAGGATTTTAAACCCGGCAGGGGAGAAAATTTTTCTTTTGAAATTCATTAGTTAAGGGGGGAGGGGAAGCAGTCATTTTATTGACACCAATAATTGTCAATGTCCTAATGATAAAATCCGGCTGAGAATAAACTATCACAGAGTTCTAAGGGCAATATTTTTGTCTGATTTGCAATTCTGTACTACCTGAATAGATAAATTGAGCCCATTAGTACTTGTCACTGTATTCATGGCAGTGATCAAATGATTCTGGGAAGCAGCACTATATCAAACAACAAGAACAAAATGATTATCTGACACTTGACCTCATGTGGACCACACTTTCAGATTGAAAAACACAAAAGTTAGCATTTTTGGGTTTTCCACTCATTCACTTGTTTATTCATTCATGAACTATTTCTGAACCTTCCTACACACCAAGCACCCTGCTAGGCATTAGGAATGCAGCCATCAAAAGTCCAGCAGCTTCTGCTCTCCTGAAGTGAGGAGTCTATGAAAGATAAACATTGAACAAATAGCCATGCAATTAAATGAAAATTGCCACACTCTAGTTAATGCTATAAAGAAAAATATGAAGGTCCTATTGTAGGTTATAGTAAAGGGACTTAATTTGTGAGATCAGAGGAGACTTCCCTAAGAAAATGGCGTGAAGCTAAGACCCAAAGAATGAACTAAGATTTCCCAAAGCAAAAAAAAAAAATTTTTTTAATTAGATATTTCAGGAAAAACAAGAGTAGAAAAAGAACATGGTGTTTTTAAGAAACTGAAAGAAGAGCGCTGTGGATGAAGGTAGTGATCAAGGATGAGAGGAGGCTGAGAGGCAGTCTAGGGTCAGATCCTGCAGGGCTCAGGCCTCATTGGATGTCCTAGCCCATCCAGGCAGTCCAGGTCACTTCCATGTACCTGGCCACACAGGGAACCTTTGCCTGGGATAATTACTCTTCCTGCAACCCTATCCATATCCAAGCCATAGGAATTGTTTCCCAACCACTGCAATAATCCTCAATTGGAATAAGTTATGGCAAGGTTCTTTGAAAGTTAACCGCATAGATAAGTACACACAATGAAATTATATTTCATCTTAATTCATTTTAACTTAATTATTATAATTAAGGCTGATGAAATGGAGAAAACTATATTCAACAGAACTTCTCTTTGAAAGACTATTTTATTGGTTGGAAAGAAAAATTTTAATAAATGGCTTACAGTGGAGGTTAAGACTGAAGACAGGTTCAAATAACCAAAGGTGGTGGTTAAACTCCCCTGCCTATAAAAGAAAGGATTTCAGGGAGAGGAATAGAGAGAGAATAGGCAGAGGAGGTGGAAACAAACAAGAGGACCAATTGCATTTCACCGTGCAATGTGTCCCCTCCCTCATGGCCCCCAAATGCTCACTGTGGTTATACTATTGAGGGAAATTTTAAGAGCTACACCCAGGTTGGCACAGGGAGCTCACAGCAACTACATACACAAGGGTACAAGGGGTGGGAAGGCTGCCCCTTACATCTAGGTGAGATGTACATCTAAGCTTATTAGTATAAATACCATAAGGCTGAACATAATGGGAAGAGCTGGGGCTTGAAGGTGCACAAATCTACTCAGACTCCAGGTTCTGCATTTACAGGTAGAGCTACCTCTAGACTTACCAAAAATTCTATGAAATGCAACTGAATCAGTTGAAATGTAATAATATTTTTAACATTGTTACAAAGATAAGAGAAAATATAAAATGCCTAACCACTCCTGACACATTGTAGGTACCTATTATTATATCTGAACTAATGAGAGAAGCAGAGGATAAAATTTTCAATGGAATTTTACCTTTGCTATCTATTAGGTATATCTGAATATTTTAAAATATTTTCATGTAGAAACCCTATAAGTTAGACTCTTGGCTTTTCAAAGTAGATACCGCAAAATGTGATATATGCAATGTGTATGTGTGTATATGTGTTGATATGACCTAGGACTGAAAAATAATGAAGAAAAATTAAAATAGTTGGAATTGAGTAGGTTTATTTTCCTCTTTCAAGTTTGTTCAGTGTTGCTCTTATATTAGGCTTCTAATTTTTAAAAGACAGAAAAAAAGTAGTGTTCTTGAAAAGACTAGTAAAACCAGAACATATCTCTCTCTGAATCTCAAAAACAGAATTCTTTCATATCAGGCTCAAAGTATTCCACAAGCTTGAACCAGATTCCTACTACAGCTAACTAAGAAAATGAAAATATTAATAGTTTATTGAGCATTTATTCTATTGCAGGAACCACATTGAGTACTTTTATGCATTAGTTCCTTCAGTTCTCTTGACAGTTCCATGAAATTAGTAACATTTTTATCCCATTTTTCTATCTTGGAAACTGAGACTTAGAGAATGAAGCTTCCCTAAGGCAGGACCATGACAGACTCAACATTCTGAGCTTTTAAGCACTATGCTGTGTGACTGAACCAGTTAGACTAAGACACATGAGCCCCCGAGGCAGGCTAATAACTTGGCACATCTTGAAAATATCTGTAATATGTATTTAGAGGAGAGGATGAACTCTGAGAATAGCCCAGCTAAATCCACTACTGGGCAAAACAAAAGCCCTCATGTTACAGATCTCACAGTATTAGTGAACAGTTTAGCAACCAGCTGTGTCTACTTGACCATGCCCTTGAGGTTTTCACCCCTAAGCTGCTTACCAGCCAGATAGGATACTAAGAGTTCTGGTAAATATAATTTTCTCAGTCTTGTTACATTTCCAGTAATGTTTTAGCAACCCTGAAATCTTAGTGCCCCAGGCCACTGGCCATCTCCTTTACCCTTTAATCCAGCTCTGCATAAATACTGAGCACATTTCCCAAAAGATCCCTACACAATGGGATGAAATGAGTGAAAAGTTTAGTGAAGATGCATGGTTATTGATTTTATAACTTTAAATTCTTCAGGCAAGACACAACAAATATTTTTTTTCAGGGAATAGTGAATTCGAAATTGACATTCTGATCTTAATTTTACCGTGAATTCTCTGCTATATGACGTGTAAAAGCCAAATGCATCAGAATAAAACTGAGAGTAATTCATTTTGTATGTATTAAAGACAGCTGAAATTTTGAAATATATAAACATGTATTCAATGGAGAAAATTGCTGGACAAGGACACAGGCAACAGGGTTGCCTTAGAATTTCAATGAGAAGCAAACTGAATCCTGAGCTTTATTCCCCACCTCACAGGCATTTCATCTCTAATCTTAACCACAAATAGCACTCAGAAAATCCAGCATTCAGCACACACTCCTACCAGGCAAGAGAAGTTTCATTTACCTTTTTTGAATCAGCCACTAATGAAAAGATGGTATTGGTTATCAACCCGTGTGACTTGAAGAACCACAGCACCAGTGCTGGGGTTGCTGGTCCATGACTTTGCTCTAACCAGCACTGTTCAATAGAACTTTCTACAAAGATGGAAATGTTTCATATCTGCACTGCTCAATACGGTAGCACTGGCTATATGCAGCTTGAACACTTCAAATGTGGCTAGTGTGACCAATGAACTGAGTTTTTTATTCAATTTAATTATATATTTTTAATATTTATTAATAATCACATTGGGCAGGCTAGTGGCTACCACATTGGGCAACACAGCACTGATTTGCATTTGTCACAGTGGTACACCTAAGCCTGCCACCATTTGCATGACAATGTAAAAACCTTTGAGGCAATGCCCCCCCCTCCAGCCACCACTCAGCTCTAAGGATGTACACGTGGGAAACATGGCTTCCTCCATTTTCAAATACCTGGCTTTCCAGTTGCTCCAGGTTCTCCTTTCTGCCCTGGGACAGGTGAACAACAATCACAACAATTCAAAAAGAAATCAGCCGGGTCAAGAGTGAAGTTTTCAAAGGGAAAGAGAGTGGCAGTGCCAAAGGCAGAATCTAGGGCGGAGGGTTTGGTGGTTGGTGCTGCCATTTCAGCCACTTCTGTGAAGGGGGTTTCTTCTTCTTCTGGAGTGGGGCCACTGGACGGCTTTGGACCCTTTGGCACCTCTTTTCCCTCAGATTTCTTCGTAAATTTTGTGTATGGTGTGGTCTTTGCTATTGTGTTCATACCAGCAATAGCCAAGATAATTAAAATGGCACAAAGCCAAGAAAACATCCACATATTTGAGGCTAGAAGAAAAATAATAAGAAAATATACACATATTACATGAGGTCCAAATAAAAAGATTAATTGATATAAATATATACTTAAATAGGAGAAAAGCACATATGAATCATAAAAATGAACAGTAAACAAAATATAAAATGATATATTTTTGATACATTTTATATGTAAATGTGTGTTTGAATCACAACAGAATATTTTATTTACTTAAGGTATTTATTATAGAAAACACTTTGCTTCAGTTGTCCTTTCTGGTTGTTTCCTCAGTATTGAATGTTCTAAAATATGGTTCTCAATCATTCAAATTATCTTGCCAAATAACAAACATGATCTATAATAAGTGCAACATGACTTAATAGTTCATATACCCTGTGGAAAATAAATATGTATAATTTCCTGACTGATCTCACTCAGATTTATAGGAATCAGATACATTTGTATTAGAGGGAGATGAAAAATATTGAGCAGAATAGTTTATTCCAGCAAACTCAATTATTTCAAGAAAAAATACTGGCGAAATAGTCCTTAAATCTACTAGGCATAATGCTCCTGTTGTGAGAACAATTTTTTAAAATCTATTGTAATAAATGGAGAGAGACAAAAAACATCGTAAATTTAAATATATGCTATATCCTTAGTTTCTTCACATGCCATTTAACTCTCCAACTCTTTGCTTTATAATTTGAGGAGTTTTTTTTATAAGCTCACATTTATCCTTATATTATTTTAATGAGACAAAGTGTGGTTATTCTTAAAAGGCCTTTATCAATGTCCAAAGTGATTTGATATACAGTTCCCAATGAGGTGAAATTTTGAGAATTCACAATATTCTATTCCCCATTAACTCCCAGCAGTCCAGTGGCTGCTAACAGATAGCCCAGATTAGAAATGAACATTTTCTGATAGACTGAAGGAGTAATTAGGATAAATAGTGAAAGTGTAAAGGGAGTGGAAATAAGGATAGTAAAAACACTACTATTTTATGGAGACCTACTCTGCATAGGTGCCTTACATTCATCAGTCCAATCAGGTCTCAGAGCAGCTCTGCCAGGTAGGTGACACAGTATTATTCACCTTCACAGATGGGGAAACAGGCACAAGAAGCTAGCGCCTTGCCCAGGATCACACAATCAGTAAGTTATGGATTTGAGACTTGAATCCAGGTCTGCTTAATTTCAGAGCCTAAACCCTTTTCCATAAATCATGTGGCATTTATAAGAATGAGATTAAAGAACAATAAATTCAAACATAGCTCAGTGGAACAGAGCAATGGAGAAGATACATAAAAATCAGTGCAGATGAGAAGGGAGAAAGATGGCGTGCTTCATTTTGAAAATCATACAAAAATCCACAAATGTCTTCTTTCCAGTCATCTTTGCTGCTGTATCCTTCCATTCCACCAAGATGTACTGCATATCCACAATGTCACAAGCACTTATGTGGTGACACCAAACATAAGCCATGGCCTCGGTGCTCAGGGAGTTTACAGTCTAGTAAGGAAGGACAAGAGACAACAGAGGAAAGAGAGGAAAGCGTGAAGGGCCCTGATAACTCCACACCTCTCCAAATACGGACTCGCCTCCACATACACACACACCCTTCACCCCACAAGAGTGAGCATATAAAACATGGTTACTATACTTCATTCAGCTAAATCCAACCCCAGCAAAAACTAAACAACAGAAATATTCTGTTTGGATATAAAATAATTGAACTTTCATTGGTTCATACAATTGCATTCAATAAACTATTCATTTGTTCAGCAAACATTTATTTGAGCATCTAAGAAGTCTGTGTGGGGCCCTAAAACATAAAGACAAGTGAAAACCAGCCCCATCCCTAAGGATCTTTTCTGCAGTAAATATTCAAAAATAACCAGGCCCACAACTTCAGGCTAAAGAGAAATCAGAGGTCTGGCAGAAGGCTCAAATGAAATATCGAAATACTGGTGGCTTATAATTCCCTCATCACTTTTCTATAAGAAGAATTGGGGTTTCCAGAATGCTGAGTGTTAATGTTCTAGGATATTTCTTATGTTCTCATAGACAAGTGAGGTCCTGTGGGAAAATAATCCTTCTCTTTCCTTACTAAAATATACCTGCATTAATCTTACATATGAATAAAGCATCTTTGACCCTGCAAACATGTTGTGGTAGCATCTTGGTAAACCAGTCCTGAGGAGATAAGAAAGAGATAGCTGGCGGAACAGGGGAGAGGAAGGGAACCAACATTGAGAGCATGGCAGGCATGGTCATGGACACACATAATTGTTATTTCAATTATAATACACCACATAGGAACCATGCAGGGTAAGATTTATTGCACCTAAAGAATGGATTATTAAACTGAGGCACAGAGAAGCTAAACAGCCTGCACAAGATCACAATGTTAGTAAGTAGTGGGACTGGGATTAAAATCTAGGTCTGTTTGACTCCCAAATCAGCCATGCACTTCCCACTGTGCCATGCTGCCTGGGAATTCATGAGTGATCAGAGATCTGCAGAAAGGAATGAAGTTGGACCCTGCAGGGAATTCAGCTCTGGACGTTTCAGTAGAAAAAGTGACTTCCCACAGACAAGAAATGGAAGCTTAATGGGAGAGATGAGGAAGGGTAGAGAGGAAAAGTCTTGCTCTGACAGTGGAGCATATTGGTGTGGGTAAACAAAGTTACAGAGGGGAACACAGCACCAGAGTCCAAGGGCTACAGAAAGGAATGAAAAGAGCTGGCCAGTATAAAGAAGGGGCTCAGTGTCCCTATTTGAGGGCATGAATTGTCCTCATCTATATGTTTCTCTTGCATTGTGGATTCCTGCTTCCCAATTTAAATTCAGATGTTAAAGGGTAAAGTTGGCAGCACTTCAAACTCTGATAAGCAACCTTAAGAATTTGAAGATGAGCTCTAACTCAGGTGGGGCAAATATTTATGTAACCTAAACATTTGTACTCCACGTTATAGGCTGAAATAAAAAATAAATGAATAAATAAGTAAGAATTTGGAGATGAGTAAAACATGAAGCTTTTCGAAAGAGTGTGGAGCAAAAATTGGTAGTAACTTGACTGACAATGCAGATGTGCCATTTCTTTATAAGTAGAATTTTTCATGTTTGTGTAAAAACATAAAAAATAGCCAAACAAAATTTCCACAATTAGTCAAGCAAGTGAGATCTTCTGGTCAAATTTTAAATCACTAAAACAATAAGACGTAACTACATGCTAAGCCTACAGTTTAAAGTGGTATTAATCATAAAAAGGAATTAAGAACAAAGATCAAAATAGGAGTTTGGGGTCCCAAATCAGAGAATTTTGTTTCTATATTCTCAGTGCCTACCATAATGTTTGGCAAATAATAAGTGTCCCATAACTGTTTGCTGAACTGAAATGAATAAATGTAGTAGGTTGCATTTTTCCCCCAATTTTTCACTCCTCCCTATAGTCACATGTTCTCACATACCCTTTGTTATATGAATTTTACAGTGTCCTACACAAAAGAAATGGAGTCTATACTCCAGTCCCTTGACTCTGAGTTCAGCCATATTACTTTAGTCAATAGAACTTGATAGAAGTGACAGGGTACCATTCCCAAGCCTGGGTCTCAAGGTCCCTTGTGTATTTCCAGTTCTCCTCTTGCACCTTTGCACCTTTGCCATAACAATCAGAAGGATATGAATGGCCTTGCTTACTGGTCACAGGAAGAGGATGAGAGAAAAGTGGAGAAGCTACCCTAGCCAAACATAACCAAGAGGAGACTCCACAGCTAACCTAAAGACACATGAGTGAGCCCAGGTAAGACCAACTGAGGCCAACCAAGGTTAGACATCCCTCACCAATCCCACAGATACATTCCAGCTATCTATCATTGTGTAACAAAGTATTCTAAACTCAGTAGCTTAAAACCACCATTTATAATAGTTAACAATTTCATGAGTCAGAAATTCAGACCAGGGACCACTAAGGGATTCTTCTGTTTCATGAGACATCAACTAAGTTCACTCAAGGTTGATTGGCTGGTGGGTGAGCTGATCTGGAGAGGCTTCATAAGATCTTCTGGTGCCTTGATAGGAATGGAAAAAAAGCTGATCTCAGCTGGGACTATCAATCATACAGTCTCTCCAGCATGCCAGTCTGCAGATATTCAAACTTCTTCCATCATGGCCCAGGGCTCCCAATGGGAGTGTTCCAAGAACATGGAAGCTGCTAATCTATTAAGGCTATACTTGAAAACTGGCACAGTGAACCTTCCATTGGATTCTATTAGACAAAGTACTCACAGAGGCCAGCTATACTCCAATGGGAGGAGCATAGACCCCACTTCTCAATGCAAGAAATGTCAAATAATTTCTGGCCATCTTGAATTTGCCATATACACACAAGAAATAATTTGTAAGCTACAGAGTTTTATCGAGAGTAGGCAGAAAACAATAACTGACGCCAATAGTTCCAGCCTCTAGTCTAACCCTATTTTTGCTACCATTGAGACAAAACTGACTAAGCAGCCTCCAGGCAGTGCCATCTTACATTTACCCCAACAGCAAACACCTTTTGAGCTCCTCCTCATCATCTATCAGCCCCAAACCTCTGGAAATCTCACCCATGGAAAGTGTTCAAGGGGAAGTTGGGCCACTCCCTGTTGAAATTCTACTAGGGGAGATCTTAAAGATTCTTTGACCTTGAATGTCCCTTCTAATCTTGAAATCTATGATGTTGTTTTATGACAGTGGGCACTGTATTAGTACATGAAAATTAGCTAATTCCATAAAAATTTCATATAAATTCAAGGGGGCATTATATTTCTTCTAATGGTGTACTCTTCCTTTTCATTAAGAAGAAAGTGCCTGGATTGGGAGGACATTCTTTAAAGATTTATTAGTCTTTTCCCAGTAGAAGGAAAGTGTTTCCACTCACCTAACAGTAAACATGGTAAGATGACTAACAAGTTTTACGTTGGGGCTAGGTCATGTATTATAAATGAATTTAACAACTGACTGTCAAGTAGTGTA